AGTTGTGCGTTCTCGCGGCTATCGAGAGTACTTGGAGAAGGAGATGAGCTTAGGCCGACTTATTGTAAGGGTGCTGAGATAGTCTCAACATAACTAAAGTGGGAAAGAATGAGGGGTTGCAGTGGAGGAGGACTGGGTGAGGTGATGACTGGTGGTGTGATGGTTGTGTTTGCCCTTTGCCCTTCCCCTCCACCCCTTCCGACTTGCCCTTCCCTCTTACTCCGCAGCACCTTCAAATTCGGAACTACTTGCTCCAAGAGGTTGCAAAATCGCCGACGTCTCGGATGCACTTTGGGTTGTGTCAAGTGCTCTTGTGTCCTCGTCTCTCCCACAGCACAGTCAAAACGGTGGGTAGTGTGGCAGCAGGCTGAGACAATGAGAAGTACTTTCCAATCTCCATTTGCAAATGACCTTGAGCAGTACCTGCATCTGTGCATCTTCCAGTCGGCGCCATGTGCCAGGATTCTATTCGTTCTGCCCAAACGTGTGTTCCAACAAGACAAATGCCAAACTTGTGTACCGAACATTTGCATCATTCCTCAGCAGTGCTATTTGAGAGCAGAGGACTTACGTAAAAAGAGTTACTTTGCTGACGACATCCGATTGTCTGCGTAGTTCTACACAGAGTGAAGGAGAGCATCGCACTCGCACAACTGTGAGATGCTGGATGCTCTTCGAACGGTGGTGCTATGTGTGGCACAGAATCTCGTCCCTTTCCCCATTTCACCTCATTCCAGCCCACTTAAGCTTACACTCGTCATTTGGACTGTTCCAATCTGCTCATCCCATTACAAAAATGGTGATCTGCTGTCCATTAAAGAGTGAACAGCTCAACTCTCTAATCCACCACTCAACACTAATCAAGCAAACTCAACCACAAGTGAGTATGGAGGGATTGGAGCTCGAGTGAGAGAAGTGAGACAATTTTGAATGGAAGAAGGACAGTTGAGGTGTGTCGAGGTGTGCGACTGTCAGACATTTCCTGCATCGAAAGGCAACGCATCTCTCGTCGATGGTGGCGGTGATGACAGTGGCAATTGATGAGAGGTTAAGCGATCAAAGAGGCGTGCTGTTGAATAACCAGGATTTGGATGCGGAAACAATCGCTGTTATCAACGTCAATGGAGGATGATGAAAAGAAAGAGCAGGAGGAGGAGGACGAGGAGGAGGAGGAGGAGGAGGCACGTTAATTGGGGAAGTGACATACAGGCACCTGCATTTGCATCGGATGAACACCAACAAGGAAGACGTTGGATGCAAAGGGGAGAAGGAATAAAGTGCAAATCTCAAACCACGCATTTAGTGCGACTGAATGCACCTCATCAGCTTGTTTGGTATTGCGCTGTGTGTTGGTTGGTTAATAACTCGACGACATGTGGAATGACCTGCACCGAGTCTAATGATACCGTCGAGGAGAGGCAAGTGGTGCCTCACCACTATCTTTCGTACTGTTGTAGCTTTCCTCTTCCAGTGGTGGCTCTCCTTGGTTTGACCTTCCTAAGCTGGCGTATTTTGGAGGACACGCATGCGAAATGCTGCTCATCCCATGGAACCACCTGACACGGATTCAATTCAGTTATCAATTGCAGCGACTGTGAGTGAGGGTGGAGTGCCATGATGAATTCAAGTGCTATCCCTTCTACTGTAAATAGCGCGTCTTCCCATTCTTCTGCATT